TCACCCAGCTTCACTGGTATCCATAAAGGATTTTCCCCCTTCAAACCCTATCCAAGTACTTTTTCTTTTTCATTTTGCATATTATCGTTGTTGACTACGGTTCACCTAATCATCTGTACTGTTTGCTAGTTACGTATGCTGCATACCATTTCTACTTAAATTGTGAAATTGTCTACACTACACATTGGTTATTGAATAAGCAATAGTCATAAAATTAATGAGACAATTAATTAAGTAATTAGGAAGTAAATAATAAGACAGAATAACAAAAATGAGTCTTTACTGTGAACAATTAACAATTGACAAATTACATTCAAATTATTATCTAAAATTGAAAAAAATCAATAATATTGAACGAGAGTAGGCAAGTCAAAAATGGGAATTAGGAACACAGGAACCTTATACATAATTAACAAATTAAAATCTTTTAATGACAGCATTCTTTGACAGGTCAGCCCTCAGTCATGAGGTGCTGACATGGTGAAATTGCCTTTTGATTCTTAAATAGATTCCAGGCGAATGCCGGTACATGCCCTCCTGTATGCGAGCAGTAAAAAGTAAAAATGAAAATTTAGTTGTACATAATTAACAAATTAATATCTTGTTATGACAGTACTCAACAGGCAAAAAGAAATCAAAATTATCAAATTATCTAATCATCAATAATCAACATTATCAAATTTTTTCCAAGGAACAAATTGAATTTATGAACGAAATTGCAACTAACATGAACATGAACATGAAGTGAATTGTCAAATTTTCTGCGTCTCACATTGGTTATTGAACAAGCAAATTATAAGACAAGTAATTAAATAATGATGATAATAAATATAATAATAATAATAATAATAATAATAATAATAATAATAATTATAAGAATGATAATCATAATGATGTTGATAATGATGCTGAAAATTGGCACTAATTAATGTCCTAATTTCTTTAATTAACTTATGATGTAAGTTTCAAAAATCATGACAAAATTACTTCCGGCACATATGATCAATTAAAAGACAAACCATTTGCCTTTTGCTTCCATGATAACTTTTTTACAATAGTTAAAATGCATGGATTGATTAGTGTTTCCAGGTGTATCATAGATCACTGCACACAAGGCTATTGTATAAATAAGTCAATGGATCTTGTCTAGATAAATTATTGCCATTTTAATTTCTTCATTTTTCTTTGTTATATGTATTTGAAAATCGTTTTAAAAAATCTGGAAGTTATTGTAACAAACTTTAAAAATGCAGACAATATAAAATTATTGTTTGTGGTGACTTTCACATAAATTGCCTTAAGGAATCCCCTAATGAAAATCCATTTAAAGATATACTAAAATCATTCAATTTACAAACAACCATAAATACACCATCCGAGTATCCAAATATAGTGACACTGCTTTAGATCAAATAATAATAATAGATGCAAATAACCATTGTTTTTCTGTTGCTACATTTAATACAAGTTTCAGTGAACACACTGCCCAGACTCTAACACTTCAAACAGAAACAAAAATCGCAGAACAGGCAACTTACAAAGAAATCCGTTGCTATTCCCAAGGAAACATAATAAAATTTCAAATCTTACTCAGATTCGAAAACTGGAATGAAGTATATAAGGTAACATACAAATGATAAGTTTAACTCATTCATAAATATATACTTAAGACATTTCAATGCTATTTTTCCTCAAAAAATCAAAAAGATCCAAAATAATAAAACTAAGTCGTGAATTACCAAAGGGATCAAAGTGTCATGTGAAAGAAAGCGCAGCATGTATAAAATACTGACAAATAACAAATGTAACTCAAACCTCATTTTATATTACAAAACTTATAATTTGATCCTAAAAAAAGTAATCAAACAAGCAAACATTATGACAAATGATAAGTACATTGCAAATGCATGTAAAAAAACAAAAGTTTTGAGGGGCATTATTACAAAGACTACAGCACCAACTAATAATAACAGAAACATTATAGAGCTCCACTACAAACAACCAAACTACAAGACCCACAAAAAATAGCTGATATATTCAATGAACACTTTTCACAAGTTAGTAAAAAGTTAATCTCTCAACACACACTAAACAATAAAACACACCAACCAAACAGTAATGTTACACAAATTGTAAATTCCATATTTTTTTATATGAAACCTCCCCCTCTGAAATTTTCAAAATCATTGGACAAATGGAGAACAAATTCTCAGCAGGCCTGGACAACATTCCAGATTTTCGTATCAAACACAGTGCTCCATGTATAGTGCAACCACTGTCTCATATCAGCAATTACTCTTGAAAAACAGGCATGTTCCTGTATATTCTCAAAATGGAAAAAATTAAACCTGTGTTTGAAAGGGGCAATAGTAATGATCCAATGAACTAAAGACCTACCTCCCTGTTATCAGGATTTTCAAAAATTCAGGCTTTTCAACAATAGTCTCAGTGCAAATAATGTCTCACAAATGCACAGCATGGCTTCAGGAATAATAGATCCACAAACACAGCCATCTTCTCCTTTGTAAATGACATACTTGTTGCACTAAATCTGAAGGAAATTCCCATTGGCGTTTTCTTACATTTGTCAAAAGCCTTTTACATTATTGACCATCATATACTTTTAACAAAACTAGAAATGCTAGACATTGCAGGCCAATGGATGAAATCATATTTATCAAACTGTAGCCACATAGTTGCCCTCCAGCACACTAAAGAAACACAATCTCATACTACTCTTGCCCTCAAATGATAAATTGCGGTGTCCCGCAAGGATCCATCCTTGGTCCAATACTTAATTACATAAATATTACTTCCTTATATACATAAATGCCTTTGGCTTTTAGCAATAACAAAATAATTTTTTTTGCAGATGACACGAACATTATCATCAAAGCAAAAACAACAATCATTAGAAAAAGAAACTCGCACAACTTTGCAAGCACTAGTAAACTGGTTTCAAGACAACAAACTCATCATAAACACCAGCAAGACAGTCTCTCTAAATTTCATGAATTCCCGATCTAAAGAAAAACTCTCACAGCATTTGCTCATAAATAATAATCCTGTAATGATATCTCAAGAAACTACCTGCCTCGGTGTAACAATTCAAGAAAACCTGAAATGGAAATGCTCACATCTCAAATCTTAACAAGAAGCTCACTGTATCTTGCTATGCCCTATACACCCTCAGGTCAATCTCCAACATTGAGACACTTTGAACAATGTATTTTGCCAATGTGGACTCACAACTAAAATATGGAATATTATTCTGGGGAAATGCCCCTGAAAGCACTCACGTTTATTATCCAAAAAATAATACTGCGAACAATGATCAGTACTCATAAGTTGGAATCGTGCAAACCCTTTTTCAATAAACTAAGAATTCTTCCTCTACCATGTATGTATATATTTGAAATGGTAGTCACAAAGGAGATTCTCATGGAAAACAGACACTTTTACGCTAATTTCCAATGTACACAAATACAACACTCGTCAAAAGGATAACCTACATGTTCCCTGCTTTGAAACTACACTTTATCAGTAAGGTACCCTAATAGAGGGCATTACACTTTTCAACAAACTAGGCAATGATATTAAGGATATAAACACAATTCATACATTTAAAAGAAAATTGAAAGCTTTCCTGCTTACCAACATGTTCTACAGTGTGAAGGTGTTTCATGTTGACTTTTTTCAAGCTGAAACAAAGAAAAAAGAACTGACATATCATGTCCTCCGATGTAGAAGAACACGTTACAAAGATTTCTGTTTCTCTCTGGATTTGCGAGATGCATTAGGTTTTGCAGTCGGACTAGGATTACATATAGAAAAAAAAAGAACTGGCCAAAACCTGTCTCCTCCTCACCATTTCAAGTTTTAAACATAGAATATATTAATTTTGTTAAATTTTATGTAGTTGCTACCATAATTGATGTTATATTATCTTTTAATATTATTATTATTAGTAGTAGTAGTTTTAGCGGTAAATGACCATAACAAGTAAATTTTACTTTCACTTTAAACATGAATCTGTTCGAATCTTGAAATGTTAAATTATTTACTACTAAAAATAATGATAATACTATATAATATCCTATTCTATCTGTAGCAAGTGTTGTAGTATAATTCCTATGCCAATGTTCCCATCTTGATCAGGTTTTTGTTTAGTTATGAGCAAATGCTGAGATAGACCCTTGTTTCGCTCGTAAATACTAATGTAACTGCTTTTTCCACCCATGACATCATATTGACTCGTCTTACTTAATTTCCTTGTATATGTGACTCAATAATAATAATAATAATTATTATTATTATTATAATTATTATTAATTATAATTATTAATTAGTATTATTATTAATTATAAGTATTAATTAGTATTATTATTAATTATAATTATTATTAATAATATTAAACTTTTGAATTCACAAGAAAATAAAATTTCTCTGGACACAAATGTATCACTTATTTCTCCTACATATCCCATACCGTTTTGATTGTTAGTTAGTATATTTTTATTTTTAGGATAACATTATTAAATTTATTAGAGAATGTCTGGAAATAAACTGGAAAAGTAAATTAGTGTATTGTTTGCAGAAAATCAGACTGTGAGAACCCGTGTTAAAATTCCAAAATTGCCAGCTTCGTTCACTGGGACAGGAGACCTATTTGCTGCACTTTTCCTTGCGTGGATGCACATCACAAACTCAAATTTAAAGGATTCTTTGGAAAGAACAGTTTCCACCATGCAAGCTGTTCTTAAAAAAACATTGGCTAGTACTCAAGGTTTGTTTATTGTTGTAAATGTTATTATCATGATCATTATCATTATAATGTTTTGGACAGTGACAGTTAATTTATTATATATCTGTTTTCTGTAAAGTATAAAGTAATGCTTTCTTTAAAATATTGTGGTTGTGTACTAAATTGTTTGCAATTGTAGTTGTAAACAATACATTCAAGTAAATAGTTTATTATTTTTATTATTATTATTTTTTAGATGATGGTGAACAGAAAACTCAGGCTCGCCTCGAATTGAAATTAATTCAAAGCAAGAAAGATATTGAATGTCCAAGTATTACTGTCAAAGTAGAAACTGTTAATAATTAATTATGAGTGAGTATGTCTTAGTAATAATGTTAGTCAGAAAGTAATAGTTTTCATAGTTGTGATATGTATGACAATATTGTTTTAATAATGTCATGTGTGGGTCTGAGGGACCAAGTGTGTGATTTACCAAAGGCCTGAAGAAATCTAAAAATATTTTTTCATTGAGCTGCCTGTTTGACCTCTAATTTCACAAAGCGGCCTCAGTCTACAATTCCCTAGAATTGTGACAATTCCATTCTTGTTATATGTTAACATAACACATACAGTACTTTGTATATCCTTACAAAGAAATTCCTCTAAATTTTTGAAAATGAATTAGTTGATTAGGGGAAGAGAGGAATCTCGCCTGTAATACATACAATAAGTATTATTTCAGCTTAATTGTGATTTGATAATTAATATAATATTTCTTTGTACACATGAGTGCATCCTTTTTTTTTAAACTAAACTAATCAGCTGATTCTAAACCATGATTTCATAATTTCCCATTTTTGGTCAGGAGATATTAAGTGAGATCCTATCCTATGGCTTCTTGAAGATATCTTAGGAGAGTCAAATGAAACCCACTAGAATATTCTTATTAAAGGTTATTGTAGAATTGTGAGATGTTTCACTGTTAGGAAAGTAGGAAGCAAAGCTATTAATGACTAAGTTTCTGGCTTGTATTGTTAAAATGTAGAAAATAGTATTATTAATATGTTTACCTTTTGGATGGGCACCAAAGAAAGTAGCAACATTGCGTATTTTATTTGTAATTTCTCAAATGTTTGTTACAATTGTTATATATTATATTACAGTTTGAGTTAGATCTCTTTTTGCCAGGGCATGATATTGCAATAATATAGTTTTCTCAGGGACCCAACCTGGTATAAGTCCCATTGATGTACACATGCATGTGAATATAATTTATGTTCTGTATGGAAGACTTCTGGAATTTTTTTACGTACAAAAGAAAATAATTTCATGATGGTTAAAAACCTTAAGTTTGAACTTTAAATTGTTGCAACTTTGTGGAAAATAATAGTTTCCATTTATTTGTTTCCTGAATAGATACTACCAATATAATTGTTGAAAGACAATCCCCTGTATTATCTAGTATTTTCAATGTGGATGGATTATGTTCTTAATTTTTTATTCTATTCATTGTTCATTCGAAATTTTATCTTTTATTAATACGTTATAGCTTGTTATTGCTATCGATATTGAGCTTGAATTACACTGCATAACTTCCCTAAATTGAAAGGGAAATATGAAACAGTTGAATGATGTTACATGTTTTGTTACCGAGGGAATCTTGAAAGGGAATAATAGGAGGGAAATATGAAAAGATAAACCGAGTCAAGTTAACATTAGTAAGTAAGTAAATCTGATTCATTAAAAATAGGTAAGAAATAAAATTATGTTTTTGGGTGTAAACTGGTTCTTTAATTGGCCCTTAGTTGATGAATTATTATAATATTCTGATGTGAGTTCCTGTGTGTTTGGAAATCTATAATACAGACCTACTGAAGTTAGTTAGCATTTCATATCTACCAACATACAAAGTATAAATGGAATTTTTTCTAGGGCATAGGATAGTGACCAAAGTTGTTAATTTATTATACGTTTTTATTGTTTCTATTTTAAAGTTTAAATGCCATCTAATGTAGGTGGAGTAAATGTTATAAATGTTATTACATGGGCTTCCAATAATGTTCTTTATGAGATGTTATAGGTAATGGAAGATTTTTTTTTATACAGGGTCAGATTTGTATATTTCATATATTTTCTTTTTAAACATTCATTATTCTCTAAAGTATATTTTTCCAGAATACTATTGAAGATTTTGTAATCTCATCAATTTTATTTAGATGTGTAATTAAATGAATGTTGAAATGTCAGAAAATATATTAGTAATTTATCCTTGTAGGAACATTTTGAATATGTAGGTCATTAAAAAGAATTGTTTACAATTGTATTTTGTTATTTTCATAATTGTTGAGAAAAATCACTTCAGTATTTGTTTCCTTTCTTGGAATTTTTAACTTAAAATACTAATATATATTCAATTCATATTTTGGATTTCATGCAAAATGGATGTAGAAATAGTATATTGTTGCTGTTTTGGGAATATGTGAAATCATGTAATGTACCATGAGTGTGCTTACAATCCATGTCCATTGTTACAACCCGTATCTACCCATTTTATGTAATACATGTTACTAATAATTTTGCATTTGTATAAACTTTCCAAAATAAAAGTGAGATCTACAACAATATATCTTAATTTAAGAATAGTATCTAGAAGGAATATAAATATGCTGTTGCTTAATGTCATTTTAATAATATTCATAAGAATAGCTTTAACCCCTTTCTTCCCAAGCATTGAAATACCCACATTTTTTTTAAACTTCTGACTGTGATATTAATGAATCATCCCCAAAGAGTGTAAATCTACGTTCCAAATATTTTTGTGATTTTTGATTTTGCCGGAATGGAATGTTGCGTTCATGCAACGTTGGGAGTTCTCTGGTAAGAATGAGTCAGGTCAACATTCTAAAAAATATTTTATTTTCTCAATGTAATAGACAATAAAAGCCCTTGCATATATTGAAAATAAATTTATTCATGATATAGTGAGAAACAGTTATTATGCAAACGAACTTGACACTTGCAAATTTTACATCTGCGACGTGCATTAGATACATCACAAATTATTACGTCACCACCGTTTATAGCTCCAGGCAAACTTTTCTTACTACAACGCCCCAGATTGATATTTTTAATTTCATTTTCTTCTTCCCTTCGGAGAAGGGTGAGTATAATTCCTGGTCTGAAATCAATTTTACCTGTCTTTGCTGCAGTTGCTAAGGTATACAATTTCCAGGCATTTACAATAGCACTATCTGTACCATTTGTTTCGGACTGCTGCTGGAACAACCCTGATATTTATTTACCTACAACATCTGTTTCAAGAATCACTTCTCATTCAAACTTTGAAACTTGTCTTTATAAAACATATACGTCCCATTATCATTATAAACTGCTTCACAGTTCATCAATTAAAAAAAAAATAGTAACCTCGTGTAAATTACGCTGCACAACCTAAAGAAAAAATGAATAAGTCAGTATCAATATATTGTTTACTGAAATAAAAATATATTTACGAATCACAAAGTGCGGTGTAAAAATTCACAAATGCAATGTTAAAATAGTACTGTAAAAAAAAAATGAACCTAGCGTTGCGTTCATGCAATGTTGGGAAGAAATGGGTTAATGTTCAAGTACTCAAACCTTTACATGAGCACTTATAAGATAGCAGTGTGATCAGTTTTTATCAACTTATTCAATTTTTTACAAAATTATACTGCATTTGTTATAAAATATGATGAATGTTGAGCTTTGGCAGCCATATTTATTCCAGTACTTGGGGAAGGAATTGGTCAACCCAAACAAGTTACTGCTCTACATCACCAGCTGCATCGGCAGTAGAGCAAGTGATAAAGTATCATCTCATCTGACTCTTAAAACAAAAGGAAATTGACCACACCTAACAAATGTGGCTTCAGGATACTCTGGTCAACCTTGGGACCGCTAACCTGTGACTGGCAACACAGATAACCATTTTATACTTCAGCAACATCAAGTTGCCATCTTTGTCAAAAGGCAGCTTACCCCATGATTTGGTTTTACAGCATTTTTCGCACTTCACATTATTGGGAGCTCATAGGACGACTCCCATTATTTCTGGTAATTTTCTTTCGAGGTCTTTGCATGTGTGCCTCGGTGAAAATTTATTTTCCAGTCACAAGTTCCAAAAGGGAAGATCGATCGATCTTCCCTCGAAGATCAATTCTGATTCACTGTTTGCAATTGTTATAATATATCGTCAATGAAATAGGGGATCCCATAAAAATATCGCTTTTCATTTTCGACTTTGTTATTGGGTTACTCTTTCAAGATCACGTTATTCAGAGGCAAATTAAACTCGTCCATATAAGATGGAATGAAGCGATAAAACTGAATTTGAAATCTTCATTTCAAAGAACGTCCAGCTGCATTGGTTTCTTTAACACGTAACTGATGTGAGGATTATACATACTCCAACTCGCAAACTTGCTTAAAAGTGTGTGCGTCCGAGTCGTGCGAGCGCATGCAGATGCGGTACTCACCTCGTACCCACCTGCTACACACTTGGTACACAATGCTGGTAAACGAATCAGCACTGGCACCTACCGCCCGAGCCCCATTGAATGCCTCTTGGCTGAGGCTGGTGAACCATGCCTGAGCCGAAGGAGTGATATTATAATCGGCTCCTATGGTGCGAAAGTATCAGCCATATGTACTCCGCGCTAAGCAGTTCTTCAGCCAAGTTACAGGACATCGTTCGAACTCAGACCGTCGTTTCCTCATCCTCCGGGTATCCGTCTCTACACGCTCTTGCAAAAACTCCCCAACTTTAGCCAACCCAAGCTTTTGGGCTTTGAATTCCGTCTCAAATGCCGTGTTCATATTAGTTGTCTGCCTAGATGCACCTGATTCGAAATTGTTCTTGCAAGTCATCCGAGTCTCTCACTGAGAGCAGTGGCGGATTCACGGCATGCCGCATGAGGTGAGTGTTACCTGTTCTGGATCTGCTTCTTTCTTGAATAGATGGAAATATTATGCAAAGAATAATAATAAATAAATACATTGTTTCATTTGAACTACACACAAGGGAGAAAATTGTCAGGAGCACTTCCGCGGTCTGTCATCATCCAGTTGAATATTCTGCTTAATATTTTTAATTGATTTCTGGACCAACACGTCGTCTAACATTTATCGTCATGGACGGGTCTCTCCCGCCATCCATCAAAGGCCTAGTTGTCGTTTTTTACGTTCCTTTAATTGGCAAAATTGATTTAAATATTTATTAACGTTTGAATTATGTAATCATTTCAAAACGATATATATATATATATATATATATAATATATATATATATTATATATATATATATATATATATATATATTTATTGTGGCGTTATGGGATTGTGCCACCCCATAACACCACCGTATCATGTGTGAACACTACGGAGCAGCGAGGATAACAGACGCGTAAGGTAGAGGTACTTAAACGCGCGCCTGGTATCCTTGCCCCGTACTAACGAATGCGAACTTGCAAGTAATGTTTTCCTTGTGAAGGGTTAGAGAGGGGAAGTAGCGGCCTACCACGAATTTCCCCAGGCGCCGCGCGATAAATATGCGAACCCGCAAGCGGAAAGCTCTTTTTTGGTCACCACGCGTCGAGTAAGCAGCTGCTCTTTTTGATCACCGTTCGACGAGTCAACATTTTCATTAAACATTAAATATTGTTTGCCGCTGCAAACGACTACTAGGTAGGAGTGTTCGGCGTCGAACAGACGTTCTAGTTAGTCGGCCGCGAGATAGTGCAGATTAAGTAGTGTTTCTTCAATTAACAACACGGGAAGAAAAGTTGCCCGTTGTGAGAGAAGCATTGAAAGTTCTGACTTAGCAACGTAGAAAGTAGCAACGAGCGAGGAACTTGCACGAGTATTCAGTGAAGTGCAAGGGACATTTTCGCAACGTGGGCGTAGTCAGAGGCTCAAGTAGCAGACACGAGAAGAAGAAGAGGCCGAGGACTCAGGCGCACGAGGAAGAAGACGGATCGACAAACGAGAAGAACGGAAGAGGACGCCAGAAGGCAAACGCAGACGCAGAGGCGAATCCCGTCTCTCTTACGACGCCAAGGCTGGGACCGAGCGGCGTCAGCGCAGCGACCAGCGCACGACCATCAAGGCCAAAAGTGGGAAGTCCACGAGGTAACAGTTAGGAACCGCGGAAAATAGGTCAAGTTCACGTCGCAGAGAAAAACTAGTATAGGAAAGTGTTAAGAATTTGAGGACACGGGTGGCAACAAATTACAGTATAATAGTAGGAGACGTTTTGATGCGCTACTTGCTGCCTAAAAAACATTCTACTTAGGACATTTATTATTCGCTATTTTCAGACAGTTAAAGTTGTAAATGAGAGTAGTGCATTTGCCACACATTCTGTTCTTTACATGTAATATCTTGGAGCGAGAAATTGTAAATATGGATTTTTGATTTCACGTGCAATGTAATTAGGATAGCACAAATTTAGAGATAATTAATTTTCCAGGGAATTCCCAGTGTAGATTAGGGCAGTGATTTCAGAGTATCAATTTTGAAGTAAATTATGTCTTCATTTACATGAGTGTGTGTTGTAAAGGTTTCTATCAGTGTTTTGATTATTCTTTGTAAAAGTGTGATTCTATATTCTTGGTTTCTGTCATTAACTTATGCCACTAAAAGTTTATGGTAAATTATACGCTCGTTTGTGAAATGCTGTTGATTTTATTGTGTCAGGATTTCAAACCTTTCTCGCACTCTGAAGATCCTGCTCCCTAGATTTTTTTAAGCGCGCTTCACGAGCAAAATCTTGATAACCCGCTTACGGTTCATGCCTGCTACTGTTGAAGGTAGTAAGTTGTGTGGGAGTAGGTGGTATGTTAGAATATATATATATATATATATATATATATATATATTATATATATACGCACACACACTTCCTAAAAATAATATTACAATATAATATTGTCTATTATTAAAAATCTATGAATCTCCCCCCGAAAAAATAATGGGCTGGGTCTGCCCTTGGCTGAAGTCATCCTTATCATTCATCCACCTCCGTCTACTGTTGCAAAAGCTTGACTTTTAAACTGGTGATTCGTGAACAAATATTTAGGGAGGCCAAACTATATGCAGCTCTTGCGGTTGCGATCCGGGAAGGAGGCAGGGAATTCATGTCCCCCATTCTTCCGATCCAATCTTCTTTCGTGGGTGCTTGATAACGAAAAATTGGCTGACGCCTAAACTTGACTCAATACTAACGCTCAAATCTGCCGCATCGCATTCCGGGGCAGAGAGTATATATCGAGTATATATATATTCGAGTTCCGGGGTAAAATGCCCATGAAGCCCAAACGGACGTAATTTAAAGAAGAAATTCACATACTGGTGAGTGATTTTCTTGAACCAATGTAATTGTTCCCAGTCTGAACTACTTTTTGGATCATATCCTGAAAATGCCTGTAATCAGATTCCAGGGCAGTGACCCCAATCTCGATCAACGTTTTTCAGATTCCCTTGATAAGCAATCAAATACTGAGATGTTCCTCTCAGTACCACGTGTAGATTTCCTCCATCCCAAACATCACTTAGTACACGTACAACCTGCGATTTTACTTTCCCTATGTGCAGGGGCGCAATTCAGAGGGATTCACACCTCTCCCTAGAAGCCTATGAAGCATTCGCAAGTATCGTTTTTATTTAGTTTCTATTAGAACGAAAATAATTCAATATTTCAATTGAAAATAGTTATACTATAATGCGAACATTCTCCAATTTGCGTAACGACGAAAAAAGGAGTAAAGCAGCTCAAGCACAAGTTAACCGACTTTTGTGAATTGAATGCAAAACATTTCCGCTTGTTACAACCAACCACGCCCACCAATCTTGTTTGGCGTCAATGAGTGAAAACTACTCATACGTATGACTGAGCGGATATCATTTGGAAATCAGCTCTTCTTAAGTTTAATTTTGTAGAGCAGTGTAATTGTTCAAATGCCGTCAATGGCAACCATTAATGCCATGTTTAGGGTTAATACGAGGGAGATGTTCATGACGACGGTCTT